TGTGTGTGTGTGTGTGTGTGTGTGTGTGTGTGTGTGTGTGTGTGTGTCAGTAATTGTGGCTTACTGATAATTGCATTCATGTTGAAACTAGGGCTACATCTCAGTGCAGGCAGGATGTGATGTGTTTTTGTGCCTGAGGTCAACCAGCAGGAGCTCTCTAATCCACCAGCCCTCACAGATCTCTGATGTTTGCATGTGTCTCTAAGTGCACATGATCTGTTTTCATCAGAGGGATTGCTGACATTATGGAATTTTGTTTGTATGTGGAGACATTATGCACATTAAGAGTCAGGAGGTGCCGACCTTTAGCTTTTGTCGTGTGTGTGAGAGAGTGTGTGTGTGTGTGTAAATGTAGTCAGAAAACAGAAAAGAGCTCAGCAGCATTTCTCTACCTGTCCTCACTATTCAAACATACTTTATAAAGCTTTGACGCTGTTCTGTTTTGTTCAAGCCACCACTGAGTGATCTAATCTCCGGCACTAGACTTGTACCTTTAAATATCATTCAATCAAGTCAATCATTTCCAGTATATTTTGGGTTGTTTAAACCAAAAATAAAGAAATTATAAAAAGTTATATAATAGTTTGTCATAAAAAAAGTAATTATATATTTTGTCGTAGAAAAGTCAATGTATGTTATGTTAAAAAAAATGAAAAAGTCAGTATAATATGAGATGAAAAGTTGTATTAAAGTCGGTCATAAAAGGGATGTAAAAAGTCATAGCTTGATAGTTGTTAAAAATTCATTGTGTATTTTGTTATAACAAGTCATAGTATAGCATGTCAAGAGTCATCTCAGAGTTTGTGATAAGAAGTCATAAAAAAGTCCTGAAAAGAAAGACGTAGTATAGTATGTTGTAAAAAAAAGTCATTAAAAGTAATTGTATATTTTGTCAAAAAAGTCATACTATAGTGTGTCACAAAAGGCACACAAGGTCATATTATGGAATTTAATAAAAAGGCATAGCATAGTTTAATATGTAGTATAGTTTTCGAGAGAACACAGAATTAATCTGAAGCCATCAAAAGACCTCTTTGATGGCACAGGAGGAAGTGCAGCCACCGTCTGCCAGTGTTTGGGCAGCTTCTGAAGCTGTGTCCACAGTTCCCTCAGTAAATCCTACTACAGTGTTTTCAAAGACAAGACAAATTCCATGACGAGATGAAGTCAACAAAATGATTAGAAAATATACTGAACATACACATGTCTTGCTCCAAAATACTTTGAAATAAAGTTAGCTTCATGTTTTCATATTGTTTCGTTCTGTGTTTTTTTTGTATGTATGTTGAACATGTGTGGCACGCTCACGCTCTTGTGTCCATGTGTATGTGTGCATGTGTGCGGGTGCTGTTGTCCATGTGTATGTGT